AAAAAAGAAAAAGCCGAGCGTGCGTCGTTTTGTATCGTGTCAAATGTCAAATAATTCGAAACAATAGTTAACGGCAGTTGCGTTTTTTTCTTTCAACATAAAAATTTGAGAACGGTAGATTTCTTTGCGAAATTCTCAACTATCCGTAAAATTATCATGGAGTAGAGATTATAATAATTTTGATTGTTAATATTTGAATTCATTATTGATAAAAAGCGTAACAATAAGTTAACATACACAGGGTGAAGACGGGCGAAACTGTGTACTACGACATTTTGAAAAAGAGGCGGCGCGGCAAAAGTAAAGATTTATAAATTTAAAGAAAAAATATCGGATCGGAAATAAATTAGTGAATGTGTCTTCGTTCTTCAGTTTGTCATTGCTTTTGTGCCGTGGGTTTGTGAAGTAATAAATTTCCAAATCTTATAATAGAAATTCGAAGTGAGCCAGGTAGACAAAAAGCTGGCAAATATAGGATAGGGAATACGCTAAGAACTCAAATACACACTGTTGGAAAACATGGAAGTGCGTAACTGGAAAAAAGTTCTCTTACATTGGGTAAGTGTTGATGGTCTGAAAATGCCAGCATCTGCCAATCGTCCCTAATTGATCACTATTTCTTATCTACATATTTACCAATCTTATGTTGCCCTTTAGTTAACCGAATGCGGATTCGTTGCTGGTAACTACTTTAGCTTGGAACAAACAGATATTGACGAGTTCTATAGAAACTTTCGCTCCAACCATAAACTAGTACAAAAATCAGAACCAGAAGGCAATATCATTTCTTTCTTGAAAGGTAATGTAGATATATTTTATACATATTTCAATGACATATTTCCTTTTCATACTTTCAGAACAATACCCAGATTATTCTCCCCTACTAGACGATGAAAATACCCTTAGTACAACAGAGTATTTATATGTTTACTCTCTTCTTTTGCATTTTTCTTGCGTAAAATATCCTGAAACAAATTTTCATGATATCTGTAAGAGATTATCTGTTAATAACCAGCGCCACATTGCGGCTTTTTTCAATGAGTTGATAGATTGTCAGTCTATAAGCCGTGATAAATTGCGTCAAGCTATTGCTGGCACATTACTGAAAAGTACAAATTCATCAGGCTCAGGAAATGATAGCCACTCGAGTGGAAATAATTCGACTGGCAATAATCTTAATTTTCCCTCATCATCGTTTCCTCGCCCGGACTCGCCATTTCGAACTGCACGCTATGCTCCAGGCAATAGCAGTCCACGTATTGTGCCACCAACACCGAAATCGGCGATGTTGGAGGAGCGAACACGAGAGCTCTATAACTTGCGCGTAAGTAAAATAAAATTGTATTCCAAAGTTAAACTCTAAATTATCATTACTGCAGGCACTATTGGAGACCGAAAGATACGAGAAGGGGCTGCTGGAAGTACAAATAAAACAAAATGAGGAGAAAATTAAAAAACTAAGTATGCGATTAATATTCCTCAGTGTTTGTTAAATCATCTTAATTTTACCCATAACCTCTTTGCAGATCAAGACCATAAAAAATTGCAACAAACAATACAAGCATTAAGAAACGATATACTTACACAGAACGCAACAGAAAGCAGTTCACCAAACAAAGATGGAGAGCAGGTTAGTTTATGTCAGGGATTAAATATGTAAAATAATATAAATATATTGAATAACGCGGAAATAATTTCTTGTTTGCCGGAGTTATTCTTAAAAAAGAATATTTCTTG